AATGTTCACAGAGAAAACAAATAGTAAAATAAAAATAAAGAGAGGACCTTACTGCAAATGGCAATATGTTTGTAAAAATAAAGCAATCGTTTAACCTTTTGTTCATTAGCTAGGTTTATCGCCCCTGAACAGTCATATTCATTTTGAGGCGGAAAATTCTTTCTCCTTGTAGAAGCTGGTGGCTACCTTGCTGAACAACAACCAGAGGTCCGTCTCAGCTTTTACATGACTATCAAAATTCGATTTCAATGACTGGCTATAACACAGACTGTAAAACGCAATACTTGGTAAATTAGGCTAGTGATGTGAGAAAAATATAAAAACAACAAGCAAATATATTGAGGGAGAAAATTTTTAACTAAAGCAATACTTTAATCATAGTTACCGTTCCGTGAAGATGATTGGAAATCAGTACAGCCTTTAGAAGGTTGTTAGTGAATAACAAGAATGATAAATTAGGGTAAATATCAGTGTAGCGGAATTTAATGCTTGGTTCGATCTTCGTGTGGAGATGAGGGATAAACATATATTATTTGTTTTTATGCCCCCGCCATGAAAATGAAGGGGAATATATTTCGTGTTATAAGCCATCATGCTGTGTTATCCTGCAACTGGCAGTGCCGTTGTCGGAATACACTTGCCACATATATTGTTGCTGCATTCCGCAGTGACGGAAATCAGCTGTATTTTAGCACATGCGGTAATTCGACAGAATTACGCTCTGAATTTACTTAGATATTATGTTTAGAATTATTAATAGTTATTGAAATAGGCGATTTTACATGTTGTAATGAACAGGATGATTATGAAAATTCATAAAATCGCTGTTATATCAGATAAAGTTAGGAACTACGTTTCCGCGCGGAGCAATTATTTTGGCGTCCCTCATCAGGCAAAATTCAGCGTTACGTCCATGTCAGGTAAACACAGATTGAATGCCAAAACTGTATAAGCTCCATTAGTCCGATTATCAACCAATGTTACAGGATAAACAGAATAAGATAACCTCCGCAAAATACAGCCTATATTTGTAGACACTGACCATGTATACTCTATGTAGTTTTCACATTCATTTACTCTGTAATGGCGGGGGAGAAGATAAAGTTGTTATTTCTTTATGTCCAACGATCTTTTTTCCAGACCATTAAGTTAATTAATTACAACAAGAAACATAAAAAATATAACAAAACGGCCATTCTTGTCTAACTATTGTAGGGGTATGACAGCTCTTGTTTACAATCTATCTTTGTGTCACTGGTCTGTTGATCCTGATCTTTGTTGGTAAGTGTTGCTGTTGTTCTCTATGTAGTATCATTTTCTTCCATAAACTCTGAAGGCAGAATCCCGATTTTGTTACTCATTCTTTACCACATATTTTGCAATGAAAATAATCAAAACAACACATCTTTGCTATGTAGGTAAAACAATTGGACTTTTTATAAACTTTGATTGTCAGTCTTGGTCAATTTATCATCTAACTATCATTATTTCGCCATATCATGTTATGAACTCTGTATTGAGTGGTGCATATTTCTTTTTCAACAATTTGCCGCAATTTAATTCAAAGAGTCTTGTTTTGTTTATCATTATTCTGCTATTTCTATTCTGGATCTTTTGTAACTTGTTCCATTTGTTTGTGCAAAGGTATAAAGCATCCTTACATCTAAAGTACATTAAGCAATTAAGGGTTTTTCTTTTCCAACTACTATCAAATAAAATGTGTTGCTATATTTGGCGATTGTGAAATCAACACTCATTACCTGTAAATAAATATTTTGTTTGTTATAGCAATGTCTGAGAATCCAAAAAGGATGGCTTTAAATACATTACGTATATACATGGCTTTCCTAGTAGAAGTTCTGAAATCATCGTATTTCGATGTCCATATACAATTCAGACACATGCTGTTCCATTATATCCTCGTTCTATTTTCAGATAAAGGATCGCTATGCAACCGAATAACTTAATTGAATACATTTCGGTCCTACATTGTTTACACTTTATCATTGGCTGTCGCAAATACTTGAAAGTGGTGTGAAAATGAACAGGGGTCAAATGCATTCAATTTCGGTAAAAGCTCCAGCTCGCCTTTTCACGCTTACTCTATATATGATTAATCACATGTCTTAATAACGTCTATTTTTTAACCGCGAAGTTTATATAAAATATGGATTGAAAACGATTATACCTGACACCTGTAAATCTTATTTCAAAATACTAAACCACAGATATAGTGGAGTACCGGAAAACCGATGTACATGTAGGATCAATCCTACTACCACTGCCACAAACGTGTGTGCTAACTACTGCGCCACCAAACCATGCTGTATTCATCTACGATGGATTTTGAAAATGTTAACTTATACCTAAAAATCAAAGAGATATTTTGAGCATGGGTTGTAAGAAGTGAATGCATTTATGCATAAACATGTTTACAGTATGTAACACGTGTACGTTATGTTATCAATACTGTCAAATCAAATGCTCAAACATTGATTATGGTTTTACTAAAACCATCATTTCAAGCTCCGCTAAGACGTTGATATCGACGAGCTTTAGTCGTGTACTAGCTATGTACGCTTTAAACTGATGGAAATATCTCGCTGCCGAGAGGATTAAACTCCACATAAATCAATTCAGCTTCGAATTGCTGTCTTAACGCGAAACACAAACAATTAACACTTCCAATATAACACCGACAACACGAACGAGGTTTTGATTAATCTGTTGCTGTGTGATTTAGTTTGTATGATTGGCCACAAAATGGCCACCGACACCGAATACGAGAGTTAAGCGATATATTAGTGCAGAATGAATTCCTTTTGGTCTTTTTTCTAGTTCTGTTGACATTTTCGAAAACACAATTTCCTTGCGCTTCTCTAATGAAGTAGACATATGTTTGTGAAGCCATTTTTTAAAACTGGGCATTTGTATTCAATATTTTCATTCGATGAAACATGTCGATGTTCTCCTTATTGTAGAGTTTTAGTAAACTATATATCATGCCAAACTCGGACATTATCTATATCTAAAGGAAATGGAGTTCATATGTTTTGATTAACGCAGAAATATTTAATGACATGAGAATATTATAGAAAAATCTGCTGTTTTATAAGTATATGCTAAACAGGCTCCAGAATATTCAGATTCAGTCAAGACCTAAAACCTAGAAAGAAAAGTAAAGATAATTGTAAAATTTTAATGATTTAAATAACTATTGGCGTTAGTTTGACTCGCTCAAGACGACGAATTACATAAGTATTCAGTACTTATTTGGAATCCTGTTTTATGAGTATCACTAGCACTTCTTTTAAACCAATTTGCACGCGATTGCAGATATATAATTAGAACTAAATCTGAAAATCTAGATTTTAGAATATAAGAACTGCCTTTGTTTTCTTTTGATTTGATTTGATTTTTAAAATGATATATTTCGCACAGAAATCGATATTTCAAATTTTCTGAAGAATGTTAGAACACAGAGACATATTTTATTTATCTAATAGGTAACAAGATTACTGCAACTGTTCTAAATGTTAGTCTGTTAGTATGGCCATTGTCTCTCTTTGTCAGTTTCAATTAAGTAATAGACACAAACTTTCTATAACGGATATTCTCTTTCATCAATTATTCAGTTCGGCGTCGTATAACCCGTGGGTTGTCATACAGTTAGCCTGGTTTATGTTTGTAGGTAGCACTTCATTTTGTCGTTTATTTGCTTTGTTGTGTGAGGATAATAACCCGTCACCGAAATATCCAAACACACGTAATTGATGTTTATTTCAGGATTTATTTATGGTTTTAACCAGGAGTCCAATTGTGATTGTGAAACTCTATTTATCAGTTGCAGTAAACCTCAAGTCGCCTGTCCCGTTTGATCCAATTGTCCTAGTAGCAGATCTAAACCAAATGTTCCTGTCAATTTTCCCCTCTGTTTTGAAAATGTAAGAGTAAAAGAGGCTTAATGAACAAAAAACGGTATGTGTCTCTAAAACATAAGTATGTTCCTCTTAACTTTGACAGATGTTAATCCCAATGTTCCCTCTGGTCCTTGTCACGGTTCATGTGTTCATCCCAATGTTCCCTCTGGTCCTTGTCACGATTTATATGTTCATCCCAATGTTCCCTCTCGTCCTTGTCATGTGTCCTGGGTTCGCATGAATACTACCTTTGGTCTTTGTCACGAGTCATGTGGTTTCCCCCAGTGATCCCTCTGTTCCCTGTCACGATTTACGTGTTCATCCCAATGTTCCCTCTGGTCCCTGTCACGATTTATGTGTTCATCCCAATGTTCCCTCTGGTCCTTGTCACGATTTATATGTTCATCCCAATGTTCCCTCTCGTCCTTGTCATGTGTCCTGGGTTCGCATGAATACTACCTTTGGTCTTTGTCACGAGTCATGTGGTTTTCCCCAATGATCCCTCTGTTCCCTGTCACGATTTACGTGTTCATCCCAATGTTCCCTCTGGTCCTTGTCACGGTTCATGTGTTCATCCCAATGTTCCCTCTGGTCCTTGTCACGATTTATATGTTCATCCCAATGTTGCCTCTCGTCCTTGTCATGTGTCCTGGGTTCGCATGAATACTACCTTTGGTCTTTGTCACGAGTCATGTGGTTTCCCCCAATGATCCCTCTGTTCCCTGTCACGATTTACGTGTTCATCCCAATGTTCCCTCTGGTCCCTGTCACGATTTATGTGTTCATCCCAATGTTCCCTCTCGTCCTTGTCAAGACATGTGTTCATCCCAATGTTCCCTCTGTTCCCTGTCACGATTTACGTGTTCATTCCAATGTTCCCCCTGGTCCTTGTCAAGATTTATGTGTTCATCCCAATGTTCCCTCTGGTCCCTGTTACGATTTATGTGTTCATCCAATGTTCCCTCTGGTCCTTGTCACGATTTATGTGTTCATCCCAATGTTCACTCTGGTCCTTGGCGTAAGTCCTGAGTTTACCCTAATGTTCCCACTGGTCCTGGTCATTTGTCACGTGTTCTTTCACTATTCTCTCTGGTCCTTGTCATGAATCCTGTGTTTATACCGATATTCCCTCTGGTCCATGTCATGATTCAGGTGTTCACCCCAATGTTCCCTCTGGCCATTGTCATGAGTCATGTGGTTACCCCAATGTTCTCTCTGTTCCCTGTCACGATTTACGTGTTCATCCCAATGTTCCCTCTGTTCCCTGTCACTACTTATGTGTTCACCACAATGTTCCTCCCTCTGTTCCCTGTCACGATTTATGTGTTCATTCCAATGTTCCCTCTGGTCCTTGTCACGATTCATGTGTTCATCCCAATGTTCTCTCTGTTCCCTGTCACGATTCATGTGTTCATCCCAATGTTCTCTCTGTTCCCTGTCACGATTTATGTGTTCATCCCAATGTTCCCTCTGGTCCCTGTCACGATTCATGTGTTCATCCCAATGTTCCCTCTGGTCCTTGTCACGATTTATGTGTTCATTCCAATGTTCCCTCTGGTCCTTGTTACGATTTATGTGTTCATCCCAATGTTCCCTCTGGTCCTTGTCACGATTTATGTGTTCATCCAAATGTTCCCTCTGGTCCTTGTCACGATTTATGTGTTCATCCCAATGTTCTCTCTGTTCCCTGTCACGATTTATGTGTTCATCCCAATGTTCCCTCTGGTCCCTGTCACGATTCATGTGTTCACCCCAATGTTCCCTCTGGCCATTGTCCCCCCAATGTTCCCTCTGTTCCCTGTCACGATTTATGTGTTCATCCCAATGTTCACTCTGGTCCTTGGCGTAAGTCCTGAGTTTACCCTAATGTTCCCACTGGTCCTGGTCATTTGTCACGTGTTCTTTCACTATTCTCTCTGGTCCTTGTCATGAATCCTGTGTTTATACCGATATTCCCTCTGGTCCATGTCATGATTCAGGTGTTCACCCCAATGTTCCCTCTGGCCATTGTCATGAGTCATGTGGTTACCCCAATGTTCCCTCTGTTCCCTGTCACGATTTACGTGTTCATCCCAATGTTCCCTCTGTTCCCTGTCACTACTTATGTGTTCATTTCACGTGTCACGATTCATGTGTTCATCCCAATGTTCTCTCTGTTCCCTGTCACGATTCATGTGTTCATCCCAATGTTCCCTCTGTTCCCTGTCACGATTCATGTGTTCATCCCAATGTTCTCTCTGTTCCCTGTCACGATTCATGTGTTCATCCCAATGTTCTCTCTGTTCCCTGTCACGATTCATGTGTTCATCCCAATGTTCCCTCTGTTCCCTGTCACGATTCATGTGTTCATCCCAATGTTCTCTCTGTTCTCTGTCACGATTTATGTGTTCATCCCAATGTTCCCTCTGGTCCCTGTCACGATTCATGTGTTCATCCCAATGTTCCCTCTGTTCCCTGTCACGATTTATGTGTTCATTCCAATGTTCCCTCTGGTCCTTGTTACGATTTATGTGTTCATCCCAATGTTCCCTCTGTTCCCTGTCACGATTTACGTGTTCATCCCAATGTTCCCTCTGTTCCCTGTCACTACTTATGTGTTCACCACAATGTTCCTCCCTCTGTTCCCTGTCACGATTCATGTGTTCATCCCAATGTTCTCTCTGTTCCCTGTCACGATTCATGTGTTCATCCCAATGTTCTCTCTGTTCCCTGTCACGATTCATGTGTTCATCCCAATGTTCTCTCTGTTCCCTGTCACGATTCATGTGTTCATCCCAATGTTCTCTCTGTTCCCTGTCACGATTCATGTGTTCATCCCAATGTTCTCTCTGTTCCCTGTCACGATTCATGTGTTCATCCCAATGTTCTCTCTGTTCTCTGTCACGATTTATGTGTTCATCCCAATGTTCCCTCTGGTCCCTGTCACGATTCATGTGTTCATCCCAATGTTCCCTCTGGTCCTTGTCACGATTTATGTGTTCATTCCAATGTTCCCTCTGGTCCTTGTTACGATTTATGTGTTCATCCCAATGTTCCCTCTGGTCCTTGTTACGATTTATGTGTTCATCCCAATGTTCCCTCTGGTCCTTGTCACGATTTATGTGTTCATCCAAATGTTCCCTCTGGTCCTTGTCACGATTTATGTGTTCATTCCAATGTTCCCTCTGGTCCTTGTTACGATTTATGTGTTCATCCCAATGTTCCCTCTGGTCCTTGTTACGATTTATGTGTTCATCCCAATGTTCCCTCTGGTCCTTGTCATTAGTCATGTGATCTTTCCAATATTCCATTTGGTCCTTGTCCGTTATGGCCGTTTGCACGAGTAAAGGGTTCTTTCCAATGTTGCCTTGAGTCCAACAAGAAATGAGACGTACCAGCCCGTTTCTTGTGTTGGACTGTCGTGGTATCTATAAGAAACCGTTCCTCGATCTTCTTGTGTTTAGGAAGGTTCTTTATTTCTTTCTCGTTTAATATATCATCCGTCAAAATGATTGTCAATAGCAGTCACGATGTATAAAAGAAGAAATAGATTCACGATGATACTGTAACTTCGGGGGTATGCTGGTAACGCCCAGACGAGTTCAAGTAAAATGGATGCAGTTTACAATATCCATATAAAACAAAATGCATAAACTTGCATGTATCATATTTGATAAGGCACGTAGATCGACACAAGAGATGGGTTCGTGGTGCCTTTGAAATTGAGGAACTAGGAAATCAGGTTAAGATTAAAGTGTTCCATGCGGAAAGCCCTTAAGGGAAATCTAAAACATCGAACATTTTTTTCAATATGTCTGATGTTATAGAAAATCTGTGCGTGGAATAAACACAAATCAGAAATTTTCCATCTGACCGAATTTATCCTGGTGAGACAGAATTTATGAAATTGCACAATTTACAAAGATAATACATAACAATGTATATCATTAACAAAATCAAAGTTAATACGAAGTGAGATATGCATGATTTCGTCAAAATATAAGCTGTGTTAACTTTGACAGTGGCAGAACAAAGGCTGCGGTATGATAGTATCACTAGGCCGGAGAAGAGGAGGCGAGATTATTAGGTCTAATATTCAAGCCACCGATGCCAACTCTCAACTTTAAGAAATTGCGTATAATCTTTTTCTTAGGTAGTGCGAGTTCTACATCGCGAAAAAAATCTGGAAATAAAGGGAGATAATGATGTAAATTAGAAGAGTATATAAAGCAGTTATTTGGAATGATTGGATCCTTCTTTAATTAACTTAACCTTCGATGGATATGAAATATTACAAAAGCGTTACTTTTAATACACACAGCTATAGTTGAAAGAAAGTACTTCTCTTTGGTCTCGGTGTTTTAGGTGCTATTTCATCAAAGACAACTGTTAAAAACCTTGGCTTTTTATTGGTTAAATTCTTCCTTTTATAAATCCCATTAATTTCAATGGTGAAGTTAACACAACAAACACAGCCTTTCTCTGCTAACTTCGTCAAATTCTGCAATCCAGGTTAATGTCTGAAACGAAGCGCTGCAGCTTATACAATTCTATAGGGATATTGGATCACCAAGAGAATAAAAAATCAACAATGCAGTATTGTATAAAATTTTAATCTCATCTCCACATTAATTGAGATTCATTACAGTTTGAATAATTCAATGTATGCAATATTCCAAAACTACATTACAAATATTTCTACTTGACAAACTAAATGTAATGACATTTTCAATCCTTTCAGGAAATTCTATAATACACCCAATCAATTCATCCTTGAGCATTTCTCTGTCTTTTCATTTCCGTTTATTAAATTGTATTCCTGTCACAGAAAAAAAAAACACTTAAAAAAGATAGTTAAAATTTTCGCTGATTTATTAAAAAGAAGAGAGTGAAATTATCATTGAAGTCGGGGGAATAGGCTTGATATCTCTGTTTCTTCGCAATTTTTTTAGCTTAATTACAGTGAAAGTTGATTATCTAAATACCTGTATGATTTCCTTTGATAAGAAATTAAGAAACCATGAAGACAAACTGATCAAGTCTCGTAAAAATAAAAAAAAAAAAAAAAAAAAAAAAAAGAAAAAGAAATATGAAAAGGGATCTCGCTATCAATATTCCTCTACGACGGAAATTATATCAATAAATAATGAATAGAGTAGCCCATTTTACTGAAGCCATACAACATTCATTGGACATTTAATCTCAAGGATTTTGTTTACGCACAAGGCATAGTATGTAACTAAAAACAACAAAAACAACACATAATTGTAGATATCCACTGTATGATTCAGAAAAAAGTGAGACAGTGTTCAAAATGACTTGAATGATGATATTTTTATAGGATATATGACCAGATCAGGTGACATGCATGACTGAGACCACGTGCATTTGAGTCAGCGTTGTGCGCGTTCAGGTAAATTTTGTACGTGCGTAACATGGTTTTGTAGCCCTATTGGCGCCAAAAACTAAGGTATTTTATCATCACATGGGAGTCCTTCTTATAATTCTAGCCATTAGAAGAATTCCAGTTTCCCTGTTGATACTTACTAGATGGAGGCTTACAGAACAAAGTCAGGTATTATTTTTTATCAATTGTAGTCATCAGGTTCATGTGGTTGCTGTGTATGTGCGTACGGCTGACCTAACGCAACACTTCAGTCAAAATAATATTTCCAAAACGTTTGTTCCGCAAACAGAAGAACCAATTTGCATTTATTTTACATTTATTTTCACGGGATAGTGCAAAAAATATAAACCACTGACGTGCTTCGAGCAAATAAAATGTAAAATGTTACCAAGAAGGAAATCTTACTAATTAATAAAGCGGCATACATTCATTAGACGTGTACCAGGATCAATAGAATCCCTTGATAAGCACCAAGCTTTAAGTCCAGAAATGGAATTGTTATGATGCCAGTTTTAATTTTCTCTTTCGCTTTACATTTTTTATTTAGCGAATGGGCGTGCGTCTCAGAGTCGGAAAAATACTTCATGAAATGGACCTGTGGAAGCAGTACGACTCTCCTTCAGTTTTTATTCTATAGAAAGGTAAGTTTAGAGATCTAACGTGAACGTCCACATATTGATTGTTTTACTACTGCCATTAAATAAACATAAAAACAACGGCAAAAAAAATTAACAGAACAGACATTTCGGCAAGCGTCTTTTTGGGGTAGATACTAGTCAGTGTTTATCGGAAATGCCTGAAGATTTCCGAAAATTGGCAGTGTTTGAAAAATATGATATATACATATGCATTTAGAAATAATGATCAGCAGATTGAAAATGTATTGGTTGGAATGTTACTTTTTCTCCCCAGACGAGAGTGACATTATATCTGACGATTAAGGTACACTGGCACACCTTTAGTGATATCATGTGTGACATTATATCTGACGATTAAGGTACACTGGCACACCTTTAGTGATATCATGTGTGACATTATATCTGACGATTAAGGTACACTGGCACACCTTTAGTGATATCAGGTGTGACATTATATCTGACGATTAAGGTACACTGGCACACCTTTAGTGATATCATGTGTGACATTATATCTGACGATTAAGGTACACTGGCACACCTTTAGTGATATCAGGTGTGACATTATATCTGACGATTAAGGTACACTGGCACACCTTTAGTGATATCATGTGTGACATTATATCTGACGATTAAGGTACACTGGCACACCTTTAGTGATATCATGTGTGACATTATATCTGACGATTAAGGTACACTGGCACACCTTTAGTGATATCATGTGTGACATTATATCTGACGATTAAGGTACACTGGCACACCTTTAGTGATATCATGTGTGACATTATATCTGACGATTAAGGTACACTGGCACACCTTTAGTGAGTATTAAAGAAACTGAGTATTCTTCATTTCGCGGAAATAAAATTCGTTTATACTGATATAAAACTAAAATTCACAATTAATGTAGCTAATTGGAAAATTATTAAAAAGAGATTCGCTTATCGCGTGTTTATCAATTACAACAAAATCTATTACGGAAATATTTAAATGATTGCATCGTAATTACATTGCTAACTTCATAGAGCGGAGTGTAGACCATTTATAACTTTATTCAATACAGCCATAAAAAAATCTGGAGACCCCGTTATCATAAATAGAATTTAGAATATTTGATAATACCAATTGTTCAAGTAAACCATCTCTACATATTTGGTAAACGCAAAACGTTTTAATATTGTAAATCTGGATATCTAAGGACAGCCACAATAATCTAGATATATCGTTTTCCTTACGTGCCGATATCACCAAATATTCCCTAAGTAGACACCAGTTTGTCCAAATTTACTTGGTCACATTTCCGAATTTTATATTTCTGCAGAATGTTACAAAATTTTTTCCTAGTTAGTTATTTATTTATTCATTCATTTATTTACTTATATATTTATATTCGAGCGCGTAATATCCTGTACTTCCTCTCATTAAAACTGACATTTTGCCGCCAAAGTTGGACAGTTAATATATATATATATATTTATATCACAGATAAGTATAAAATTCAATATTAAATAAATAGATTAATCACATCGCCACCGTGATGTCCAACGAATATGTCTTTGTTCAAATTATCTGTAAATAATTAATGAATTGACACCAACTGTGACATCACGATTGAAGATATTGACATGACGTCATCACATCGTGACGTCACATTATACATAATAACCATGAAGTTAAGATAATGGTAAGGAAAAACTTGTTCACGTAATCCGAATAAAACATATCTTCAATCCATTTCCATTTCACGTGCAGTTGATGAAACCCTTCTCATTGTTATAACTCAGCAGAGTTTCATCAATTGTATTTGAAATGAAAGCTCAGTTATGACCATATACAAATATATATTTAAATGATTTAAGCCATTTGTTTCTCGGATTTTTCAATAGGATGGATTTCTTCATAGATATTAAAGTTTGCAATGGCTTCAGCCTCGCGACCAAAGTCACACGTGTGGCGATGGACACTTGACACACGCGATATCGGAGTTTCGTATCCCTCATCGTCCGGAAGACCGGAAGAAGTATTCCCAATACCCACTTCCGGTCTGATATCGAGAATTCTGTCTACAGGAATTACCCGATGTTTGATATCTGGCATTGCGTAGTACAGTTTCTCCCAAAACCAGGGGTCGTTATATCTGACATACGTCCGTGTCTGTAAGTACAATTTAAGATCGGTACTCATGTCTTTCATGTCGACATCACTGAGCAATATTACAATCAGACGATTTGTCTTGTCTTTTAAAACACGATGATGAGCCGTTTGGAACTCATACTGACACCACTCGCTCTTCAGAAAGTTTTCAGACATGACAAGTATCGTTCTACGACTACACTCCACACTACTTACAATCGTTTCCGATATGGAAGCTCCGATAGGGAAATCTCGATAATGAACACAAAGTTTGAATCGATGATCAACATCCTCAAGTCTTGGAACAAGCTCTCGTACCACGAAATCCTCGTCTTTATGACTGTACGAGATGAAAGCATCGTATACTTGGTTTACATCAGATTTCTCATGTGTCATTCGACATCCGAATTTTGCAAAACAGATGACCTGGATAATATTCTTATTCCAAAACACTAGCGCCAGGACTACAACGATAACAACTATGGCAATGATAGCACAAATTAGAGGGAGATTATCCGTGCGGTTGAGGACACGAGTTACGCTTTCACGTGTCATATTTCTAAATACTAACGTCATATTTGGACACATAGTCTCCATATCCACGTCAATAAATCTGATAAGTTTATTTGGACTGTTGAAGTAGCCATATGTATTTTCAACATCGGTGTCGTCTGCTACACATTCCAAATCCCGCCGGTCAATAATTTTCTCAACAACCGTGATCGTATTATATAACATTGCTGACAAGAAGTTACAGTCACATGACCATGGGTTTCCCGCCAAAGTCAGCTGTTGCCACATGGGATTTGAAAGCGTTGCGTCGACTATAAATTTCAGCTCGTTATTCGCTAGGTAAAGTCTCTGGATATTTGGAGTGTGTTCAAACACAGAATAATCAATGAAAGACAGTCGGTTGTTTTCTAGGTTAAGTTCTACAAGGCTCTCTAATCCATAAAACATTCCGAACAACAACTCTTCCAGTGAGTTATCATTTAAGTTTAACACTTCAATTGATTTCAATCCAACGAAGCTTCTGTTTTGTATAAATTCAATGCCGCTGTTATTTAGATAAAGTACTCTCAGAAACTCTAGTCCGAGGAAACCAAATCTCGTGAGACTTGAGAAGTTATTCCCATCCAGCCAGAATTGTGTGGACACACTTGGAATGTGCATTGGAATGCTAGTAAGATTTTCGCGCGAACATTTGACGAAGTTCGTCGTACTGTGATCTAGACTTCGGAAGCACGTGCATCTATGTGGACAAACGAACCTACAAACACATCCCTCGAACTCGCAACAACGACATTTTGACATGAGGCATTCTTCTTGGTAGTCGCAAAGCATGTTGGAGGGTTCAAGTTTGTAGAGGAACCTGAGTTCGGCTTGAAAACCCTCCCTACACAATATCACATCCGTATCGTATATAATAGGCTGGCCATACGAAGGCCTGCTGTCGTCCATTTTCTTTCTCAACCATTGTAGTTTACAATCACATACAAACGGATTGCCGGCGATGTAAAACGTTGGAGGAGTACCCTGCAAAGCCGGCGATACTGAAATTGATAGCAATTTCAACGTCTGTATCAGATTATAACGAATGTCAACTTTTCTTAAATTCTTAAAATTATAAAAAGCGTAATGAGCAACGCTGGTGATCTGATTTTTTGCTAAGTTGATTTCCTGGAGAGATTTTGGATATTGTTCGCCGTTGATTGAGTTGCCGATGGAATTGTGACTTATGTCAAGATGGAGGAGAGAATGGAGGGAACTGAACGCCCACGTGACGTCACTGATATTATTATGTTGTAAAAACATCCATCTAAGCTCACTAGCACCATGGAAGGCGTCGTCCTCTATCGTATCGATGTCGTTGTATGCTAAATTTAGAATCTGGAGAGATGGCGGTTTGTTGAACACACCACGTGGTATAACGCGTAAGTTATTGAAAGCGAGGCTGATACCCTTCAAAGTAGGTAGTCCTTCGAACGTATTCAAATCCAAAGTGTCTATCCTGTTGAACCGGAAGTCGATTAGACTGATGTGTTCCATGTTTTTGAGACACGGTATCTCTGACAGGAAGTTAAACGAAATGTTGAATTGTGAAACAGACTTAAGCGGAAGTAGAGACTCGTTGTCAGCCTGGCTAATGTTGTTGTTCCGAAGGTCTAACTCCAAAAGTGATGACAATCCTTCAAATGCATACCTTTCTAAAGATTCAATTTTGTTTTTCCCAAGTTTTAACTTTTCCAATTGTAATTGCTTTTCGAAGAAACGCTCACTTAAAAATCGTATTCGGTTTCCAGATAAATCGAGATAAAACAGTTTTTCAAACCTTAGCAGGGATTCCCTGTCTAATTTGCTAATGTTATTGTTTTGGAGTTGCAATTCTGTCATTTCTCTCAAGGGCCATAACTCTGCCCATATCCTGTCATCCATATTGCAGTCTCCTAATGCTACCACTCGGAGTTTTGTTGAGTAGCCAAAGAAACCTTCTGGAATTCGACCTAAGTTGTTCTCATTCAACGCGATTATTTGTAGATTTTCCTGTTTACGAAGGAGATAAGGTGGAAGTCTCCGAAGGCGATTGGAAGAAAGGTCAAGCCATCCAAGATCACGAAGAGCCACGAATGCGTCCCGATGAACCATGTTGATGTAGTTGTCACTGATTCCAAGCTCCCATAAATTTGGCGATGTAGACGACAATTCATTTCCGAGATATTCGAATTCATTAAAAGGAATAATGATTCGAGAAAGACTCCGGAGTGTATTATTTTCACAGGCAAGTCCAGCATCCGCCAAAGATCGAATTTTGTTGTTGGTAAGATTGACATAGACTAGTTCTTTATTTTCACAGAGGCTTGGCACTACTGACACTTCGGAAGCAACAACTGTCAAACGTTTTAACGACGGGCAGCTCAGAAACGCTTCCGGGTCAAAGGTTAATCGTCTGGCATTAATTATAGTCAGTATTTGTAAAGACAACATGCCCGCAAAAAGATCTTTTGGAATGTGATCAAATTTGCAATTTTCAAATGTGAGCGCCGAAAATGTTTGAAGGTCTTGGAACATATGACTTTTCAGATTGGAATGTAGGATAGGGTCACACTCCAAGTGCAGCGTGCTGTTGACAGAGGTTCGAAACAGGGCGAAGTTATTGTCATCGTGGACGGTTGATAAGGAACAGAAGACATCGACAATAAGGTCCGAGGTGTCACGGCGGTAGCACGTGCATTCTTCGGGACATGTGTAATCGACACAACGGCATGACGTCACCAAGAGAGTCAGGACAACGACCGTAGAAGCCGGCCACCTCATCCTGCAAAAAACAAAACAAATGACTCTAAAGGTACAAAATAACAACAGTAGTGAATGTAAATTTATATACCGGATACAAGAAAAAATGTCTTCAGTTATTTTAAACATGTTTAGTAAATCTAATTTACAATCGTACACAGTTTAGCCGAAATACACATTCATTTCCAGGTCACCAGAAATCTCAACCAGCGGAACACTTCACCGAATTTATTGGCCCAATGTCGGTATCGACCGATGTATACCGCATTGCCATAGCATGAAAAAGGTGTTCCGAAATCCTACTCCTGTAGGTAATACACAATACATATATGTATATCGATTTTTCTGACAATCTCTGCTTTCTTGTTCCACAGAGGAGAATCTTTCAAAATTCCATCGACATAAAATAATGTTTTGCATCCCGATTGATTAGGATTAATTAAGTAGCATGATTTTTTTCTGACTGTGCAAAAAGATAGATATAAGTTGTACAAACGAAATCGGGTACTTATTTGACTTATAAAGTGAATTTTCCACGAAAATATCAATATGGCTTCAAGTGCTTTTAAACGTTTGATTAAACTATACTTAGTGTTCATAACATCAAAAATGTATATAATCAAAACCTGTTTTGGGGACAGTAAGAGCATTTTAAATGGTTAAATCATTACACCTTAGCCTTATTTCGTGGCTGGAAACATCCGACTCGATTTCAGATAGTAAAGAAATTTCGTGCCCCGTCACCACTACTTTTATTCCCAGCCTCGATTGCACTAACTTTAATCACATAATTTAATTTTTTCATTAACAGTCGAATTTCTTCCATAGACCTAGCTTTATAAGGTGATTACTTCCTGTAAAGTCACCTTAATCTAGAGACAATATCTAACACTGCATCACCTCTATCAAGAGACCACCTCTATCAAAGAACACGAATCCATCTCTATGAAGAGACTTCCTCTATCAAAGGGCAATCTTTACCAAGATACTATCTATATCAAGTGACTACATCTTTCAAGGGGCTACCTCTATGAAGGAACCACCTCTCTATCAAAAGACCACCTCTATCAAAGGACCACCTCTACAAATATACCACTTGAATTAATCAGAAATTTACTGTTATCAAGAGATCATCCCTAATTAGAGACCAAAACAAGCAGATCAAGCGATCACCTCTGCCCCCTCTAACAAAAGCTGACTTCTATTAAGAGACCAAATGTTAAGGGACTACTTTTGAATGCCGCCATTGCAAGGTTAGATAGAATCATCAAATAAAACCTTTATGAAAAGGTTTTTTTACTTTCCATAGGTGATCTTATACAGGGTTTCCTAAACAGACATTTAGTTTAACACACCGCATATTCACGTGGAGGTGACTAGAATGTTGTAGTAAGATAGAGAGCATGTTTCAACAAGATGAACCATAGCTATCTAGTTCAAAACGGTTATCAACGACTGTTTCATGAAATATGATCACAAAGCTGAATATCGATTTTCTGCATCTGCCTATGATGGCCTTTGACCATAATATTAAAACATGTTCACTACCAGAAAAAAAGATGAATAATAAAGCGAAATGTGAACGATCAATTAAAACGGTATTAGAATAATCAAACTTGGAATGACTCACTCGTCATTATACTAGATGGTGTCAAATTTTGATCATATCAACACACGGGTACTGTACACACGTAATAGCATCTCTCATTGGGAAATACAAATTAGACAGCAAAATAAACACTTTGAACTGGAAATTCACAAGCAAGTGATGACAGTTCAATAAAAATTATTTGTTTTTGGATCATGAATATTGATGAATTGTGCCTACAGTGAGCCTCGACCTAGTCTGTTATTTTTCCGGATATTGATGATCGCAAAAGGGTTCCGGTTATTAGATACTATAACACATCGGTGCTTGTGCTGTAAATTATGTCACCGTGTTCTGTGTAAAATGGCGTTTCCTGTAGATTTAGCTAGCACATATTTTTATTGATTGGAAAAATAGTCTTCCCTTGGGTAATAGCCAGCCGTAAATCAACAGGAATGAGTTGGGAAGACTAGCTGAAATAATACAATACAGATAATAGCTTTCGCATGACATGACAATTGAGTCACCATTATCACTATAGTAAAAAAATATTTTAGATATTTTATTTTCATAACTTTTCCTGACGTTCATGAAAATGACAACGCCATCTTTGATTGATTTCAAAAGTACGCACGGTTATTGCTTCCAAATCAATGGAGAACACGATTGTCTTTTGTGCAGAAATAAAACACTACATTGGCAAGATTTTTTTTTCATTAATTTGGGATATGTAGCAGAGGTCTTTATGCTTTTTAATGTCCCTGCTGAGGATTAAACTTGGAAGGGATTTAGTGGAGTAAAAAGGCTACGGCCGCAAATTAGAAAATCAAAAATTGTAATGTATGATGTAGTATTTCTATAAACATGTTTAAATATCCCATCAATAACTTCCTCATCTTTATAGAAAGATGCCGTTTGGGGAATAAAAAGTGCCTGAAAATTTTGCATATTTTTATATTTTTCTCTCAGTGATATGTATTACTACAAGAATAAGATTGGAATATCACACACTAAGATGTAATGAATCACAACGATTTGTCACGTAAAATTGCTTGCTTGTTCTAAAGGTGCTTCGTTCTCAATAAATATCTTTACTTTGTAACTTTACGGGCGCATTTAGAGTCGGAGTAGGAAAGTCATAAAAGTAGGGTTACTTCAAGGTACTGTTTTAAGGCCTGTCCTTTTCTATCTCAGTTAATTAATTATTTTCCAAGCTCTTAATAAAGTGTTACTTTACATAAAATAAAAAAAACTGTAATTAGCTTGTCAATGTACAGGGTATTTGGTGTTAGAACAATGATGTGTTTAAAAGGACACGGTAAGAAATATTAATTATGTTATTGATGTTACGAGTTCCATTATGTTTTTATGTTATCCCGATATTCACAGTGGATTTCCAATGTCCGGCTTGACCACTTCTTTGATTCGGGAAACCCGTCTAAAATTTAGCCCTGATAATGTAACGTGTTTTTTTTAACACGAGGCTATCCATTTTGTAAACACGAACATATGGTGGCGGGGTGTCACTATCACATTTTTTGGGTGTGGCAAATGCTATTTGATAGCTCTAAGTCAATCCAGAATTACAAATTAAGTGACATTAATCTCCAATATTGTCGAGACCGATTTAGGCGGGTAACCATTTCTGTTTACAGGCGACGATGTTTGTGCGCAAGCGTCATCACATACAATGCAAAATTTTGCATATCCAGGCTGTTGATAAATAGATTAGGGTTTACTTCTTATAATTAATTAATCAATCTATTTATGTGTATATTTCTGCGAAAAATAGTCATTGTTCATAAGGTGATACACGTGCTGTTTAATAATGAAAACAAAATAATGTTTTTTACCGTGATATCGCTTAAAGATATCAGTCATCACTTTCAGTACACACGATTAAATGACGGGCAGAATTTCTAATTCAATTGGTTGAGTTTGACTTGTTTTCCTAGAAAATAACAGGATTTCTGATATATTTTAGATTATACTAACAAAAATATAATCAAATTTGATGAGTGCCTAAAACCGCCTTCCCTTCTCCTTCGATGAGTCAGGAGATAGCAGAGATTCCGTATTGAATCACTGTTATGCTTTTGAACATGTTTAAAATTATCAAATGCATGCATCTTTGAAGGATTTCAACTCATTTTACTGAAAACTGAAGCGGAAAAGTTTGAAAAATGTCTTGCCTATGTGTTATTTAAACAAATGAATACGCCGGTAAGATGCATGGCAGACAGGGTGAGGGGATAGTCGGAGTAGTCGTAGCTAATTTAAAGTGATTTAGTCAGGAGAGAACTTAAAGGTGCTATATAGCAAATTAATTCTGTAATATGATACGCTGGGCATAAAATTCAGTTTTATTGAAAACAATGCTAGTCTATATCCATGTGATATTCTGACAATGCTTTTTTTTTGTTTTCTCCCCTTTTTTCCCCATTAATCCCCAGTGGAATTCATGTGAAAAGCAATTTGTTTCGGTGGTGTGATGTTATCAAAATGTCACATCCAATTTTCGTCAGATCTCGATTTCTGACGACACAAACGCGATATTTGAAATTGAGACTTACGTATTGACCGTAAAATAGACTCGATGGCACCCGGTAACACCCAACATTTCAGAACTATGTGGACGGTTTTCCCTTTATTGTATTACACTTTTAGCTTAGTCTCTATGCTAGGTCGAGTTCGAGTTTACCATCCCAATGAAAATATCGTTTAATGTTTCACATGGGAGCTATTGAACGATTTTATCACAAAATTGCATGCAGATATATGATATGCAACCGATGAATATATTTAATGATATTTTTTAATGAATATGAAAACTCCGCATGACGTATAAATACAGATAAAAATAGGTATTGTTTTCATCTTAAATTGATGAAAGGGAAGATATACTGAGTATCGCAGGAGTTCATGTGCACTACAAAAAATTCTATATTCTATTTTTTTTCATTTTGTCAACAGAAGATCCGGAACGGCATTCTGTATACATGTGTGTTTCTCGATTTTTTTAGTTTTGTTGTGAACGTCCGGTTGTCATGCGCTTACGCAATGTTGGCCTTTGAAACAGAACAAAGACATTTCAGCACCCATATACAAAGTACTACATTAAAAACATATGAAATCAAAACAAAACACGATAGAACAGGTTGCAAAGAAAAATAAAACTACAAGAAAATTATTCTGCATAAATTATCCCTGTAAATCCTCGATGTTTTCTTGCAATGGGGGACAATGAACTTCGCGCTGTTACTTTCTCTCTATTTCTGTGTTTGCCTTTATTTATTTAACCTTTACAGGTGCATCGTTTGAATTTTCTATGTTTATGCTTCAAATAGATAATTTAAACGTTTTTGCATGCATCTAGGGTAACGTATCTTATCACTCAACACGAATGTAGCCAGGGCATTGATAATGTTATGGGT